AAAAAAAAAAAAAAAAAAAAAAAAAAAAAAAAAAAAAAAAAAAAAAAAAAAAAAAAAAAAAAAAAAAAAAAAAAAGTCATATATTTTTCATTATTTTCGAAGACACCCATTCTGATCCATTCGCTTCGCCGCGTCTTTACCAAAATACCCAAAATGCTTACGTGGATCCCACAACAACAGATACAAGTACAGACTCCCCCATTTTATTTATTTTATTTTTATTTATTTTTTTGTTTAAATTACCCATATATTCCTACACTCATTATTTTAAAACTTCTTTTTTAAAAAATAAAATAAATTTTGTATTTAATATATCTTTATATATAAAAATTTGAAATTTAAACGATGTTCAAACTCAAAAAGATTTTTATTTTTTTATTTTTAAATAGTAACCAAGAATTAAACATAAAATAAAAATTTTCTTTCTTTTGTGTGGTGGCCTCGTGGTGAAATATTCGGGTGGGTGGGTGGGTGTGTGTGTGTGTGAGACAAATTGTGTGGGGTTTTGTTGGAGCATGGAAAGTGTACCTGACTCATCACCACAGCACTGTACTGTACTGTACTGTACTTCATCAACCAATGGAATCTCCTTCCACACCCAACCAAGCCCCCATCTCCTCCCTTCTTCTCTCCTGAAACAGTTCCATATGCATTGTAAACGTAGAATATAGAAAGCAGAGAGTATAGTCTGTATCATAAAGGAATGAATGCAGTGTTTCCATCATAAAGGGAGCTGCCCTGCTCTGTGGGGGACTTGTCTTCTACACAAATACCACAATTTCCACACCACAAACTCACAAACAACAACAACAACCATTGCGTCGCGATCTTAAAGATTCCATTCTAATCACAATTAAAAGACTATCATGCCGTGTCCTCTCAAACCATGAGATTTCAACTGCCTATCTAAATCCTTCTTGATTTAGTACCAAATGTGATTGTCCTTGTCCTTGTCCTTGTCCTTGTCCTTCATGGGTTTTCTAAAGTTTTGAGCTTAACTACACTACACTACCCCCCAGACCCTTCCTTCACCCTCTACTCATAGCATTGCACCACCAGCTCAGATCCTCTTTTCTTCCCTTTTTTTTTACCAACTTTGCAAATCTTATTATCATCCAATTCTATTCTTGATTCTCACTCAATTGCAGAGGATGAGAAAGAATTCAGGCAAACATAAAGAAGAATCCAAATTCAATTCAGAAAAAAGAACACACCAATTCATATTTTATAAACGAAAACCTCTGGTCTGTAATGAATGGACCTACCTATACACAAATCAATCTGACATCAACCACAATCCCTGCCACCTACACTACCATGCAAACACACAATACTTACAATTTTCTTGTCAACAAACAAACAAAACCCAAATCAAATATGTGGACGGACACTCTTCAGCTTCCCAAAACCACAAACCATCCAGAGTGTCCTTATTGCCTCCCCAAAAAGGGTAGAGAGTTTCATCTTCTGCTATAATTGTGTTAGCATTCAGACAGTCAACAGTCAACAGCTTTTACATGTAAGTTGTCAGGTCGAAGGTGCCTATCTCCGCTGTAAAATTTGCGTTCGCAGACTACACTCTTTCACCTGATTTACCAAAACTTTAATACATAAGTACAGACATATATGCGTACTATAATATATACATGAGAAAGAACAACTTGTCCGTCCAAGGGAACACTTATGTGAAGAAATAAACAAAGTATCAAAAGAAGCATTTACCTGGAGTACAGCAATTGCAGACAATAGACATTTTACCCGCTCAAGCAAAGTACATTCCTTTGCACTCACATTCGCCAACTCAAAAACAAGAGAGTTCACTTTTCCAACCTATCAAATGAAATATGCTCAGAAACACAGAAAAATGCAAACCGAGGGCAATATCCATACTACCTAAATCCAAGTTTCTAAATCCATTTCCGTCACAAGCATCAAAAAGCTGACTGCGAACATACATAAAATTAAACTTCACGTGGTTATATGAGTTCCCTGAATATCAGGATAATTTTTCAAACAGTAAATATTACAGAAATCCCTAGTTAATGATGGTTCTCTAGAAGTTCTATGTTACAGATATTGGTGAAATTGGATTTTTTTTTTTTTCCAGTTCTAAGAGCCCTAGTTAATAGACTATAACAAGAAAGTTCCTTCTATGCACTAACGAAGACCATAAACCGCATCTAAAAACTAGGATGAATTAAGTACAATGATGGTTAATCCGTGTGAATCAACAAACTCATAAAGCTAAACCTGACCGCTCTGAGAGCCATAGAAGAAAAGTTCTAAGAGTAGAGATGGAACTTGGTTTCCGGTAAGCAATCTATAGAGCTAGTCACTTCAAGTGCTTTTGAAGAAGCACTTTTTCCCCTTAAGAAATGAGTGAGAGAAAGAATGATTCGTTAGAAATTGTAGTCATGCTAACTACTGGTGAAGAAATTATCAAAGGTGAAAGACAACCCTGCAAAGGCAAATTGGCATCAAAAGAACTGTTAATCTCAGATGCAAGTTGAAGACCACTAGATTGATATTCATAAGGTTATGGTGTGGAACTTATATATAATCCTTCTACACAATAAGAATTGAGAGATAGTGTTCTTGGACATAATTCTGCTCATGACTGCCAAATTAATAATCTGACAACCATTTCCTGCGACTTTATGCCCTTGCAAGTTGCTATCAACTTATTGAGTGTGCATGCCAGGAGTTAAATTTAGGAAGAACTTTAACGTTAGCAAAGAAGAGGAATGAACTGATTTGCAGCGAAGTGGTGCAAGATTTCAGGACCAAGTAATCTCAAGAACGGAATTTGAACCCTTAATAAAAAGGAAAACTTCTTAAAAAAAAAAAACTCTCCTCAGTCACCTTAATCCCAGTAAAGAAATCCTTTCTGAAAGGCTTGCCGCTCTGGTCTTATAGCAGTACAATGTACCAAATTGTTCTGATAGCTGCCCATTGTCTAGAGTCCTATGGTGGTTCTTATTTGTAACTTTTGGGATTTCTTGGTGCAATATGCTATGCATCAAGAACTTCCTAAATTGCTGACTGGTTTTCCCACTGAGGGAAAAGTAAGGATCCATTGGTTTAATCTGTTAAAGCTATTGCTATGAACTAAAATATTTTGACGAAGTACAGAAGAGGAAATTTTGGAGTTGGCTTGTTTTTAGCTTCATATTGCAGTTCATTGGGCAGATACTTCTTATTTATACAATCCTGGAGAATCTTCTGTCGTCTGCTTTTGGCAAAGATTTGGTAGGTTTCTTATCTTCCTCTTTCCTTCTAGTTTAACCTTTTCTCGTTTAATTAATGTTCTTCTTCAGGGAAAAAAAAAAAAAAAACAGTTCATACACCATTCATATTGGTTTATTATCAAATGTGCAAGCATCATAAGTTCGTGGACATTCTAGAATACTTTCAACCAGGGTTTTCACAACGGACCATGGTAATAAATTTAGCAAATGCCTAGCAACATTTTACAGCTTCAAAATCTATTCAAAATGGAAACAACAGAAAAATGATGACCGTCACCTTTGATAATAGAAAGCAAACTGATGATGCCATTGTCTGCAGGACATCAACGGCAGAAGAAATTGCGTCCTTAATATCTTGGACATCCGCCTGTAGCAGAAAGGAAATAGAATTGCAAGTAAGACACCTAACTAAAACAATCAAATCAATGAAACGGTGAACCGCATAGCCAATAATCTCTTGCTCTCAAAGACAGCAGCATACACAATGACGTCTCTACCTTTGCTGCCCCAACAACTGGCAGGCGAAGGGTGCTAGCCCTCAAAGCTTCAGTAACACCTGATAAGCTGTTGGAAAAGTCTTGATCCAGTTCATCCCACTCCTCCAAACGCGACATCTATTGTCACCAAACAGGGCCAAATCAGACGAGATCAGTTCAAAAAGTAGGGGGAAATAATAACATTTAAAGAATCAAAATCCAATGCGTCTCACATAGTCCTAACTATATTAGCCATGGTAAATGGAAATTGAAGCAAAAAACCAGTAAAATTTGACTCTAGTCTAGGAAATGAAATAATAACAGTAACACTGCAGGATAATATTAAGACCACTTTTAGAACCATTTCCTAACAACCCAGTTCCACAAAACGTAGGTGGGTCATGGGGAAGCTTCCCCTTGCCTCAGAATTGGCAAAAGCAGTTGTAGAAATAGCTAAAATGGCATAAAATGAACTTCAAGAATCACAACTTTCATTAGAAAGAAGAAAGAAAAAGGTAGAAACAAGAGAGAGCTAAAAAAAACTAAGGGGAAAATGGATAATATTAGTCTTACCTGCCAACTGAGGATGGACGTTAACGTTAGTTTTTGTTTTAGTAACTGTAACTCCGATCTCTTTGTTCTAACAGATTCACGAAGCTTCGTGGTACTCAGCCAGGCGTTATAGAGGCTTCTCTGATGCAATTAAAATAATGTTAAGTACCATCCCTTGAATTAAGATTTTTTATTAAAAAAACGAAAAGACAATAGAACCCAACCATTCTTGAACGGTCAACTTACCACCGTCCACAGATTTGCGAGAACATGGAACAGAAAATAAAATAAAATAATATATATTTTTCAAAAGCACCTCAAAAACCGAAGGAAGAAGGGAAAATGGGAAAATGGGAAAATGGGGGGTTTAGCCGAAGCGTACCTCTGCATTCAACCTGAGGCCGCAATGGGCTGCATCTGCTCGGGCATTGACAAAACGCCATTGTAACAGCCGATTATGTAAGAGCCTCAAAGAATGCGCATCTACAATTCGGTTCTCCGCAATCTTCCCCCTCCGAGCATCGGCAACAAAACTTGTCATTGATAATGGAATGCTGCTCAAACTATTAAGAGGTTTACTTCCCACAGCATTCCTCAACCGAGGTCCGGTGGACGATGCTAACAGCTTACTTGGTGACATAGGCTTAGGTGAACCGCGAATGGGAGACAATTGACCTCGACTGTTGGCAACTTCGCGTGGAGATGATGTAGGACTATCCATCGCAAACTTCTTTGGCACGGTAAGCTTGGAAGGAGCTAAAGTTCTTACCCCCACATTTTTGGACAAAGGCGACCCATTTTCGGGCTGGCGCCGCAACCGGTTGTTTGTCTCCTGCCAAAATCTTGCCGGCACTACAATCCCGCGAGGTCCACGCTGCCCCTGTACTTCGCCAGTACTGTACTCTTGAGCTCCAGAATTTGTACCGGAAGAGACGCTATCAGAATCAGATGAAGCTACATTAGACTGATCAGATACATTTTCTGAATTTGCGTCCATAACAACTTCACCTGCCTTCTCTAATCCTCCATTTTCGGAATCCGAGCTCAAAACCCCATCAAAGGAAGCCCTACCCTGAGCCATAGGACCCTGCAACTGCCTCATGACATTCACAGATCTGCCACTAACCCTCATCCTTTCGGCTATGTCCTCACAATCCAAACTCTTGCTCATCAAATTAGCCTGCCGCAACCTCCCGGGCCATCTATGCTGATCTACAATAGGCTTTGAGTTCTCTGCTTTGTCCGCAACGCCACCTCTCGCTGGCGTCGTCGACTTCCTGCGTTCAGGCGTACCCTTCCTCACACCTGGTGAATGAACCGGCTTCGCCTTACTAACTTGCAGAGAGAAGGACTCGCCCTGGAATGAAACAGATAAGCTTCTCGTAGAAGTAAGCAAGAGCTTCTGAGAAGCAGGCATCTCGGCCACGCCACCATTATCATTCCCAGTCCTGAAATCAAGAGAACAAGGCCTAGGAGTGCCAACTCTTCTTCGGTCCACCGATAGCGAACGCTTATTAACCGAAGAACCAGTCTGCGTCGGCGTAGCAGCTAAACTGGGAGTTCTAGCGAGTGAAGGAGAAGGAGACCGTTTGGTAACCAAGGCCGAGGAAGAGGAGTTCGATGGAGGCATAAATCGAGAAGTGACCTCACGAGATTTCGGCTTACGCGGATCAATTGCATTGTCGGAGTCAGACGGAAACAAAGGAATCCTGTTCGAATTCTGCCGCGTCGGATGAAGATGAGGCCCTTTCTGAGCGGCGGCAGTTTTGGGGTTTAGCGTCGTGGACACAGCAGCTACCATTGCTTGAATTCAGAAAAGAAATCACCTCCCATTCCACAAACCCTAGCAGTATTTCAGAGATTCGGGGATAAAACAAGATGGGCAGCCGTAAGAAGAAAGAAGAAGAATCTGCAAAATAAGAGGAACAAGAGAGAGAAAGATATGGCGCAGAGAGGGTTGGATGAGGAGAATTTATGGCGGTAATTAGGAGAGAGTTTAAGCCACGGAGGTGAGTGACCGTAACAACCGTAACAGTAACAGTAACAGTAACAGCCCGGCGGCGACGGAGAATGGGGAGTTGGTGTAGGCGAGATTTAGGACCATAACCGTTTCTTTTAGCAACCCTCCTGTTTGGAGCTTCATGTCAATTCGTTAAAAGAGAACCCTCCACTCGCGGAGTTTCCAGTACTCGCGGAGTTTCCAGTACTCGCGGAGTTTCCAGTACTCGCGGAGTTTCCAGTACTCGCGTTAACAAACAGCAACGCATTCGAATAAGGGCATCGTAGGAAATTAAAAAAGTATTCGATTGGGGCGTGGTGCGCACGCGAGGCGCGCATTGATGGAGGTGGAAGAAAAGGGATTAGGAGAGTAATGGTGAGGTCATTGAAGCTTGGAAGAGACGTTACATTTACACAAAATTCTGACAAATGTACAATAAATAAAATCCATTCACCAATATCCCGTGTTTTTTTCGCCTAAATCGAATAATTAAATATTATTACGCATTTTGGAATGATATTATTACGCATTAATGGTAAACCAAACATTCCATATTTTCATAAAAAGCAATGGACCTTCTTCCCTTTGACTTCGATTAAAATTTGGTCTAAAGATTTTGTAATTCAATTGCCCCATTTATTTTGTGTCATATGATAATTAGGAATTAAAGTTTTTGGTATAAGGTGTGATTAAAGTATTAATTGTTGTAACTTGTTCATCCAACTTCCATAATCATCAAGTTTGCTTAATTATGAAAGAACTGTTGGTGGTTAATGTGATTATTAATCGGAAAATCCATTGCTAACTAACTTATTAAAATGGAATAGAGGAGGGAGGGAGTGTTTCAATGTATATTATGAAAGCTCCATGCTTAAACTTTGGGAAACTTATAATTTACGATTACTAAATATCATCCACTATCATCAATTTCTGAAATTTGTTTTTGCAGTCATCCGAAAGGCTTTATGCAGATCAAAGAGATCCGACATTGATTGTGGAGAGGAACGAAACATTCTTGTAAGAGCTCAAGCTCATGGTTGGCAAATATTGTCATTTTTGTCTCTTTTCCTCATGGGCTTCGCACGAAGATTTTGAAACGCGAGGAATAGGTTTCCACACCCTTATGAGAATGCTTTGTTTCCCTCTCCCCTCTCCAACCGACGTGGGATCTCACAATCCACTCTCTTGGGGGACTTGAACTATTGCAATTCTTTATAAGAGTGTGGATGGTCATTCGCAATAGACCCAAGTGAACAATATTTATGGGCGGTTCCACGGATCTCTTACTCAAAAGATTATTCATAAGCTCGTATTAATAATGTTATCGAAAACGAACATGTGTGTGCATGTTTAGGAGGAGGAGGAGAAGGACCTGTTACAAAAGAAGTGAGCTTTCCTTCTTAGACACTCAATTTCTAAAGCCCGGAAAAGAGGTAAAGTCTGCGCCTTTTCTTTGCTTGAGTATAAATTCTTTCGCCCCATAATCCCACTCTGTAAACTGCTTTATTTCTCAATTTCTACTCATTCATACCATATTGTTTTACGTCAATTTGAGGAGCTATATTCCGCACATCCTGTCACGTCTCCTTTAACATGAGACTAACTATGTTATACACCTCTAAAATTAAGCTAATCCACCGATTTTCAACAGTAGTAGCAGCAAAGAATAAAGTGGCGTGGGTTCATTCAATGTGAAAAAAGGGTAGTATGAACAGGAATAGCCAGCCCAGACAAAGCAAGAGAATAATTATGTGTTTAAAATGAAGGGGAAAGTGGGTTCTTTTCTTGATCGGTTGTTTAGTTAAATAATCAATCGCCAAAAAGTTGCAGAAAATGGTAGCTTAAGTATGGCACCCTCCACGTTGTGAGCATAAAGGCGGAGGGCCAACAGCTGAGTTTGGGAATGGGGTTTGAGGCATAAGTAGAAAAGGGATCCCCTTTATGAGATGCTCTGTTTCTTGGGTTTGGTTTGTTGTTTAGGCCTCTTTTGTTAAGGGCATGGGTTGTAGTTTTGATGTTAATTACCCATTTGTTTTTGTTCCTGATTCTGGACAACCAAACAAGAGACATGCACCAAACATCCAAAGGAGTCATTAACATAATCGAGGAACAACCTCGCATCCTAATCATTAACCGCAAAATTTGATACAGAAAGCGGTGTGGGAACCTGGAAAAAGGAAAAGCAGAAAAGGACCCGCCAGCCTTGTCCCAGTGTGCTTTATTGGCAATGAAAATGATATCCCCTTCCACTACACAAAAAGTTGAATTGCCTTCAATATGGTTTTGTGTTGAAGGATGGGAAAAAGACTGAAGGGGAAGGAAGGCGCACTGATTTGGATGTTGATTGATGGGATCTTAATCCCCTAAACTTGAAGTTGGTGGTTACAATGTTCACTTGAGCAACAAGAAAATTATCTTATTTCATCTTCTGTCTATTTCAATGGAGTTGGTGCTCTGCTTGATTACCACACCACTGCACACCTTCTGCCTTCTGCTTTCTATACATATTTCATGCGCGTTTCTTTAATACTTAAAGTGGTACTTAAGCTCACTAATAGTAGATATTATCCACAACCCGTAACGTATCGCCATCAGTTCTACGGTTTTAAAACACGTCTAGTAGAGATTTGCAGATCTCATAATCCACTCCTTTTGGTGTGATGTCAGGCTCTAATACCATTTGCAACAAACTAGTAAGTATTGTTTGTTTTGGCCCATTATGTATCGCCTTCAACCTCACGGTTTTAAAACGCGTCTACTAAGGAGATGTTTCCACACCCTTATAAGGAATGTTTCGTTCCTTTCTCCAACCAATGTGGGATCTCACAAATCCACCCCTTTGAGGCCAACGTTCTTGATACTATTTCTAAAAGTCCAAGCCTATCGTTAATAGATATTGTAAAGAATGTTTTATTCCCTTGCTCCCATGAATATGAAAGACAAAAACACATAAAATAATAATGCCTCAAAATTTCTGAAACTGGAGTTTGAAGCAGATGAAACGGACATATCATCAAATGCATTGGTTCTCTTGGTCTATCATTCTACCACACTGTCTTGTTTCAGTAGATAACAGAACAGATATCATTTAAAGGATACATAACAGGAATGACATCACTCAAGACAACCTTTTGCACAATATAAAACAGACAGGATAACATAGTTGGTTTGGTTTCATGAGAAACAAACTTAGATTATTCAAGACAAACTAGCAGAGGAGACAACAGTCTACTCTCTAAGCATAATCGCCCGGCTGGTCAGGAGGAGGAGGAATTGGCATATGAGGCAGGAGAGGAGCCCCATGCTCTATTGGCCCGGGTTTGACAGATGTCTTTGAGCTTGGAACTGGGTCAATGGTAGGGTAGTCATCAAGTTTAAGATCACCTGGGTGAACCTTCTTTTTCCCCAGGCTATTATGTTTATCAGTCTGGAACTGGGAACCAAAAAGTTGTAACCAATCTCATTAATCAAGAACAGAGATGCATTATGAAAGTGAGTTGTTGGATTTAAAGGCTTTTAAAAGGGTAGTACCTTCAGCTTCCTGTTAAAGGGTATGTCAGACAAGCATTCGTTTGGACTGACATGGTGGTGGCTCAAAGCCATATCTTCAAGAAAAGCACAGCAAAAGCAACATGCAAAATTACAGAAGTTACAGCAAATGAAGTTACAGCAAATGAAGTTACAACTCAATCTCTATCTATGAACTTGATGCTGTAACTTCGAATTTGAATACACGCATACCAATGTTGTTAAAGATAGGCAAATTAAGAACTGAAAAATATGATTAATCAAGCATTAACTTCAAAATTACCGGAGGTGGAGGAGGCATTTAAATAGCTGGGAAAGCAAGACAGCAATAAAGTTGTTTGGAGGACCAAAAAGAAAACCCAAAGCCCAGAAAGCTTCATAATGCAATAATGTGGAAATGCAGAGCAGGCCCAGAAAGAAGAAGCCAAGAACTTGAAAACGAGTATGTGCTGAGAAAAAGAAACAAAAGAACACACGCCCTGTTCAAAGGAGGTCATCCATGAGGGATTTAAAAGAACAGAGGAAATATGGAATGGCATTTAATTGGATCAGTAGAGGAGCAATAAAAGGAATCAGGTGATCGTCAATGCTTGTTGATCATATCACCTGCAATGGATACAGGCTGTGGAGGAGTAAATGTCTGCTTTGCGTTTGCAGAAACATTGTTAATTTTACAAATTTTAAAATGGCAGAGGCTTGGAATGCGAGCCATCGGGAAAGAACAATTAAATATTTAATAATTTAATTATTAATAATGATTAACAATAACGGGGGTGTAGCTCATATGGTAGAGCGCTCGCTTCGCATGCGAGAGGCACGGGGTTCGATTCCCCGCACCTCCACTTTTTTCTTTTGTGCCTTTTTTTTTTGTCGCACCCCAACAGTGGATTGCTGCTATCCTCCCCATGAGCTAGGAACAGAGCAGAGTCAAGAAGACCACTCCAAATGAGAAGAAGAAAACACCGTCTTCTTCAAAACTGCTTGCCGATGAGGATGTCGGAAGAACAAAGAACATTGTTTTGAGATTTAATCAACAAAGGAAAGTTTTTTTTAATACACGGACGGACGGTCGGATACAGAATGTAGTGTGGAACAAACCGATTAAATCAAGTGTGAACCGAATGCCATGTTTTGTTTGTTCATAAAAGTAATTTCGCAGGATAAATCCTTGTTCGGAGAGAGGGAAAGGCAACTTTTTGTCCATTAGCTTCACAGACACTCTTCGCCATGGAGAGAAATTATTTTTTGGTAAAAATTCTTTGACAGTGGTTAAGGTGACAATGTCCTAGAGGAATAGCATATCATTCCTCTATATATGAGAAAAGGGAGGAATAGCATATCATTCCTCTATATATGAGAAAAGGGCTCGTGAGTTTACGTTAAGAAACAAGAATAGCTCAGAGAAATGTCGAGGTTATCAAATGTCGAATTCTGGATAGAGTTTATGTTAAGAAACAAGAATGTGAGTTTACGTTAAGAAACAAGAATAGCTCAGAGAAATGTCGAGGTTATCAAATGTCGAATTCTGGATAGAGTTTATGTTAAGAAACAAGAATAGCTCAGAGAAATGTCGAGGTTATCAAATGTCGAATTCTGGATATCAGACGTGAAAAACCAACTTCCAATTCAATAAGCTCCCACAAATAAACACCAACAATGCCCTTGTGAGAACCAATAATAAGAAGCAACTTATCATATATTAACATTGAATGAGTAATAATAACAGCCATAAAGTGCATCAATAAAGATGCTCTGTTTTTGTTCTTTGAAAAATTATATTGTAAGAACGCTGGCTTGTAAAATAAGATTAATCTAAAAATATGGAGAAAATTAATAATTATTCGTTTCCGGAGGGAAAAAGGATTCGGTATTGAATCAGCAATCCACAGTATGAATATTGGAAACGAGAGATAAAGAAAAACGATGAAATTGCATATACCAAAATTTAGTTTATTATTTTATAGATAAGGAAGCAAGGAGAGAAGAGAGGGGGTCTGGTCAAGATTGGATTAAACTGCGCAATCACTTCTTCCTCTTCTTCGAATCAGTGTAGAGTGCAGCTTTTTTCTTCAACTTTGAATCTGTTTGTGACCCAAATTCATGGTGCCGGATTTATAACAGAAGAGTGGGGATGGATTGTGAAGTGAATTGTTCAGAATCTGCAGCCAATGCATGCACCTGATCCACCCCACCACAAGATATTCAACAACGATCTCCTCTTTCGCCGTCTCTCCTGGACGCCAACCACCTCCTTTTCGTTTCTCTTCACCATCTCCCACATCACCTGCACGTCCCCGTATTCGCAAGCCCTCACATCTCGCCCAAGTTTCAGCAGTCCTAATCAAACAAAATCCCCAACCATTCAATTCATTCACTCTCTTCCATTTCTATAAACAAGGATTCAGTACAGAAATCACGCACCGCGTTTGCGAAATCCTAGACGAGACGCGACTCTGAAGCTAAATCTTCGCAACGGAGAGGTCATCCTGCTCCACCATCCCATTGTCGTCTGCTCTGCTTCAACTCCCCGCTAGAGGAGAGATTAAAAAGAGAAGAAACGCTAGGGTCTCAAATCTGAACGCGGTCAGAAATTTTACCTGAAACACCACCAAAAACAAAAGAACCAAACAATTTTCTTCGGAACTTTGAATTCTCAAAGCGAAATCAAGAAATACATCAAGAAAATCAAAACAATCTGATGAGGAAATGGAAGGCAACCTGGCGAAACTCGCTCTCTTCTCTCCCTCCTCCAAAGAAGCTCGTTGGCAACATTGGGAACCTAATTCGAAATATTAACCGCTTTTCCGCCAAATCTCATCAGCCGACTGTTTCTCCAGATCCGCCTCTCACCGGATGCGACCGTCCGACTCTGTCCTTCTCGCGCCACATCCGATTCTTCACAAAACCGCATATACCCTTCATCGCTTCCTCGACCACACGTACTCCTCCTTTTCCGTTGCACTACTTCGTGAATTCAGGCATTTGCCATTAAAAGTGGAGGCGCGTGGCCCTCATATCCCTATTAAGCGTGTGCATTTAGTCTGGTGGGACCCACACTGGTTCTCTTCTCGCGTACTAAGAAAGCGCAACTACGTGGCACTCAATTTTATTTTTTTAATTTTTAATTCCTCTTAACATTTAAATTTTAATATTTATTTTAAAATTAAGTTGAGCTTAAAATATATTATTTCTTAAACAAAGCTTAAAAACCTTTGGTATTGATTTGTTATATTGAATAATTAAAAACTATTTCTTGGCCTAATTCCAGTCAGTCTACTAGTTTGATGATGGTGAGAATGCTTTGTACTACTCGATCGAGAGACATTAGGCTGATTGTGCGAGAGACATTAGGCTGATTGTGAGATCGCAGCTCAGCTCAGCTTAGCTGGAGAGGGGAACTAATCCGCCCGCTGGAGAGAGGAACTAATCATTAGACTGATTAGACTGATTGTGAAAGAGAACTAATCATTTGTGAAAATTATGTTTATTGAAAGGAATGTTGGATTTTTATCAGTATATTCTGCAGAAGCATATGTTGTTACAGGCAGCCTCCTCTAGGAGGAGTTGGGATTCTTAAGATGGGGAAAACAGGCGTAAACATCAGATTTTGGGTGCCTTGCTTCTGCATGCTCCCTGCACTTCACCTCCGTCGTTGTGCATATAAATGTCTGCATGCACACCTTGCACTGCAACCATTCACAACCACCCACTTTCATTAACACTTCCATTTCAATCTCACATGGAGCTGCTAATGGGTTTTGTGTTTTACCTCTAAGTCTCGAGGAACCAAATTAGATACATAATTGAGACTCAGAACTTTACCTGTATTGTCATGGCTTTCTTGTTCTTTTCCAGCTGACTTCCTGTGAAAATTATTACAATCATAATCAACTCTTAAGAGGGAAATCATCCATCAGAAAGAATTGGGTGGCAGCTTAATTACCTCTTGAGGAGGACTTTTGTTTCTCCAGGTTTTTCTCCCGAGCCATTTTAGACTTCTGGCCATTGCCTCCGCCCATCTCGCAAGAGGGAGGGTTTCAAATTCAGAATCGATCGCGTCGCCTCAGAGCAGAACTCTGTGCATATATATAGCAGTTTCTTCGCCGTCGGGTAAAATGGGAGCCAGTGATGATAGCACAAATAAAAGTGGAAAAGCACCGTTCGAGGATTATTCTATTAATGGCAAGGGATAGGAAACGGGATGGTATGGTGTGTGCAATCAATTAATGGAGTAGTTGGGGAGATTTCTGGTATTGAAAGGGAAACACTCATAATTGTCTCATCCACTGCTTTTGACCCTTTGATTCGAGCACATGCGGCGAGTCAGCGGTAGAGATTTGTTCATGCCATGACACCTCCCAACCACGCATGGAGAGATGGCAGAATAGAAAGCTTAGAAGAGTGGATTATGGTGGTGAGGCATTTTATCGAACACTTGGTCTGCAAGTAGATATATGCGATGACTGAGTCGGCAGTGTGTTGGTTAATGATGTGGATAAATAGTGGAGTTAAATAGGTAATACAAGTACGGCTGCAGGCCACTACAAATTAATGGAAGGTGGAGCCACGCAATAATAAGGAGTATAGTGTTGTATTTTATCTTTTGCATTGATTATAAAAATATAAGAGAAACAAGTATTATATTTATTTGTGTCCTTAATTAAGATCCTTGTCCCGTTAATCATCTTAGCAATTAATTAAGCACCATACAGAGTTGCCGTTGCCCGCCAACGCTCGCTCTCACTCATGGATCAAGGATTATTCATGTTGCCTCCATAACCACCACCGCCACCACTACCACCACCCGTGCCTCCTGAACCGCCAACTCCGCCGCCACCGCCTCCTGAACCACTTACTCCACCGCCACCTCCAATGCCACCTGAGCCGCCTAACCCACCACCGCCTATTCCACCACCTCCAATGCCACCTGAACCGCCTAATCCACCACCGCCACCACCGCCTACTCCACCTCCAATGCCACCTGAACCGCCTATTCCACCACCTCCAATGCCCCCTGAACCGCCTAATCCACCACCGCCACCACTACCTCCAATGCCACCTGAGCCGCCTATTCCACCACCTCCGATGCCACCTGAGCCGCCTAACCCACCACCGCCACCACCAAAGCCTGAATCTGAGCCATACCCAATTCCAGGTCCATACCCACCATCCGACCCATAACCAATGCCCGAACCGAATCCACCACCTCCAGCCCCACCGGATCCAGAACCACCGTAACCTGAGCCAAAGCCTCCGTTCATCCCGATGCCAGAGCCACCACCAGGTGATACTCCCCCATAACCTCCAACCGTGAGCTCTAGAAGGTTCACTTCCTTTTTAACGTTTGTGTTCTCTGGAAGGCCATTTCCCATTTCATGAGCACTCATGCTACTCGCGAGCTGCAATTTTCTTGCATTTGCAGCGTCAAGAACATTAGTGGAGAGGACAAGACAGAAAAGGAGGAGGCCCCGTGAAACCGAATAGTTTCTCGTCATGTCTATTGGCCAACTAAATGCAACAGAACGCCTGGAAGAAAGAATAACACCTCATATATATAAGAAAGCAATAGAATGAACATGAAAAACCCCCAAGGATCACATCAAGCTTTTGAAACCATGATATGTGCAAGGTGGTTCTGGTTGTAAGCGCTATCCGCATGAACATTGGAGCAAAGATCGTGGTTGACCTACCTACGGTTAAGAGGCCCTTGTGAAGTCTTATAAACTTGACTAATATGTTGGAAAGTTAGGCGACAAAAGAAAAGTCATTTTTATACAATCAAATGTAGGTACAATTATACAATCAGATGTTACCTCAATTCCATCCAAAAAGAGCTCAAAAGATTTAAAGAAACTCTTATAATGCTGAAGGCTTAAACTAGCCAATAATAAGGGAGAGACTAGACTCAAGCTTTTCTGGAATTTCTGGACAAGTCTTTTGAGTCCTTGCTGTCATAACTTTGATTTTGATCCTTGTTGTCAAGTTCCATTCCCTGAAATATCATCCTTGAGGACCGATACTTACTCCCGTAAGCTGTGCCAAATCCCCATCCAAGTCCCAATCCAACACCACACCCACCACCTACAGAAAAGAATCACAAAATAAATAACTACGCAATCAGATGAATGTCTATTTGGAAAAATATTTGTACGTAGAGCATGTTCGTTTGTTACCCGCACCAAGGCCCAAGAAGTTCAAAGGCATTCCTGCAAAATAAACATCTTCATTCAGGTGGGGCACGTAATTGCAGAAAACCTACAACTCCCACGTTAAAGAATAATACGTGCCTGGAAATTTTGAAGGGAAATAATGGAATCTACAACTGGATCTAAAAGTTATGTGCAGGACCATAACTTTCAAGGTTCCTATGCAGAAATTAAACCCCAGTACACTAAGCAGAAATCATAACTTTTGAACGACTCCAAACAGAAATCTGATAGTCTAAACGTGAAAACGTAATCTTCCATTGCAATTTACTTTATCTATCGTTCCTTAAACTAAATCCATACCAACCTAAGATTCCAGACTGTTCTAATATCCTAAACTGCAAAAACGAGAGTTGCAACAAAGGCACAGAACTTAGTTTCTAGCCCGTCAAGATTCTTGTCTATAGGTATCCAGCTTACACCCTTTCAATTAACCTGTGGAAGGATGGTTTGAGTCCTTTAAATAACTCATAAGATGAACCATCATGGATTGAACTAGTAGTTAATACAGGTCATGGGAAGAACCCAAAACTATTAGTCCGTCACAAGTTAAAACAAGATACCCCACAACTTCTGTTGTGAGCTCTCATTGAACTAGAATATTGCCCAACATGCATATTTCTTTTAGAGTAATGAAACTAATAGATTTCACAAACAAATACATGAACTACTCGCTGTTGGGAGTCACACAGGAATTCCAAGTGGTATCTGTGGCTAGATGTAGATATCTTAAGATCAACGATGTCAATAGATCACCACAAACCAATTCATCTCATTGTTCTGCCTCTACAAATCACAAAGTTACTCCATCTTCACCAAACTTGCCAAAAGAAAAGGCTCTACTTATTCCAAGTAAATAACCTATTAAAATTGGCATACCTCGGCCTGCCAGTCATTTCAAAATAATAGAGAGCCAGACATCGCCAAGACACCAACCGTAGCTTAACAAGAACAACTCGTATCATTTTCAGAGGAAAAAAAACTACATATTATCCCCCTTTCTGATCCCAATTGAAGAATAATAGTTTTTCAATTTATCCCCCTTTCTGATCCAAATCTTTTTCAATTTATAATTCAAAAGCCTCAGGGTTCTGTAGCATTCATTTCATAATATTCCAGAAACTCTTTTCAGCTAACTTCGCCCAGCTAGCATATTAAATCCAACATAATTAGAGAGAACGCAAATAAACAAAAAGCCCGAAATCATCTTAGAAATTCCGGAACAAGCTCACGACGTACAACAGGTAAATGAAAGAACTAAGCAAGAGAGAAAAACGATCGAAAATAACTAGGGTAAGACATCACATACCTCCGAAACCCCATCCGATGCCGAATCCACAACCGATACCAAAACCTCCAATCAAGAAAATAACAGCAATAATCAGTTAAAAAAAACAAAGAAAAGATAAGAATATACAAAATATATCAAACAAAACAAGCTCAATATTTATGAAGATATCATACCGAATCCGACGCCAGCTCCATTGAAGTTGGTGAGTACCATTGCTCGCAGCTGAGGCGCCACAAACGGAGAAGCTTGTAACGAGTGGAATCGAGAACGAATTGAACAAGGGGAGCGAAAATTTTTAGCAAAGAAAAAAAGAAAACACAATTACCTCGAGCTGGAGGAGATATTAGGATGGATCGATTTGGGTTTAAGTGTATACCTAAGACTTGTGGCCCACTTATATTTTAGATTTTTTTTTTTTTTAATTTGAGAATTTTTAGAATTAGTTAAAAGATTTATTGAGAAAACACAATTATAAATTAAAATTTATTTTATTTTTTGTTTTAATAATATCTCATAATTAAATTCTAACTACCGATTTTGTATTGAATGGGTTTGATTATATGATAAATGTTTTATTTTTATTGTTTTTATTTCTTTAAATAATAAATAATATTTTAAGGTAAAAGGCATGCCATTGAAGTCACATTGAAGATAAAGAGAGGAGAAAAGTAAAATTAAGCAACACTTTCTGATGTCCAAGCTTATTGCAGAAGAATCCAAAGGAAACAGTTGCAGAAGAAGAAGTGGGGAATCAATCAAGGCACAATTTTGAAAGCCTTGATCTTGTCGATCCAAGAAATGAAGGAGTTCTTGGAGTTCCTGAAGCCCAGAAATCCATGCTCCTTGCTCTTGTTCATGCTATCTATGTTACCTGAAATGCTCAAAATTATATCTACGAACCACCAATTACCAATCTCCTCCAGTCGGGTTGGTTGCAGCTGATTCTCCTTCACGATCTCTTCCCACACTTTGCTTTTGTCCTTCATCAACTCCACCAACGTCAATTTCTCGCCCTCTTCGAACCCGTAATCCTCAATGTTGAACTGTTCTGCCAACACTTTCCAGAAATGTTTCCACTTGAATACATCGCCATTGTTGCAGTTAAACGCCTCGTTCTTCGCGTACGGATCCACCGCCGTCCATATGTGCTGCTCCGCTATCAGATCTGCGTCTGAAGCTACCGAGAACTCCTCCCAAGCCGATTTCGTGCCTGGGAATTTCAACGGACGTCCCTCGTGCCTGCATATGGCGGCGTACGCGCATAGGGTTCCTATGATGTTCATCCAGCCGAAGGGGGAAAACCCGAAAATTACATTGGGTCGGATCACCGCCCATGTCAGATCCTTTCTTTGAGTCTTTTCAATTTCTTCGAATAACAAATCTTCTTGCGTGTAATAGAAATTTGGGCATTTCAATCGAGGCAAATCCTCCGTGAAAGGCGAATCGTGCGGCTGCACGGATTTATTGACAATGCTCTCGAAGGATCCGACGTAGTGCTTCGTACCGGTTTGAAGGCAGATATGGCGGAGATTGGGCGCGTTGGGGATCACTGATCGCAACACGTTGCGAAGCATTTTAACGTTGGCCTCGCAGTTCTCGAGCTCGGTGGATCGCTTGGTCCATGTGACATAGAAGAGATGAGTCACATCAACGAGCTGCGAGAGTTTGGCTTCGGCGTCTTCCGGATCGGAGATATCGCATTGAATGTATTCGATGGGATGGTCGGCGTTCCAACTTGGCCTCGACCTCCGAGCGACGCCGTAGACCTTCCATGGACCGCCGGGGGTGTCGGAAAGAGGGAGAATCTCGGCGAGGCTGTTGCCAACGATACCAGTAACGCCGATCACCAGGGCGACGCCCTCAAAGCTTCTCGGAGGTTCACCTTCTTCAAATTTCTTCTGCAAAATCGGGAACAGAGAAGNATCGATTTGGGTTTAAGTGTATACCTAAGACTTGTGGCCCACTTATATTTTAGATTTTTTTTTTTTTTAATTTGAGAATTTTTAGAATTAGTTAAAAGATTTATTGAGAAAACACAATTATAAATTAAAATTTATTTTATTTTTTGTTTTAATAATATCTCATAATTAAATTCTAACTACCGAATTATAAATTAAAATTTATTTTATTTTTTGTTTTAATAATATCTCATAATTAAATTCTAACTACCGATTTTGTATTGAATGGGTTTGATTATATGATAAATGTTTTATTTTTATTGTTTTTATTTCTTTAAATAATAAATAATATTTTAAGGTAAAAGGCATGCCATTGAAGTCACATTGAAGATAAAGAGAGGAGAAAAGTAAAATTAAGCAACACTTTCTGATGTCCAAGCTTATTGCAGAAGAATCCAAAGGAAACAGTTGCAGAAGAAGAAGTGGGGAATCAATCAAGGCACAATTTTGAAAGCCTTGATCTTGTCGATCCAAGAAATGAAGGAGTTCTTGGAGTTCCTGAAGCCCAGAAATCCATGCTCCTTGCTCTTGTTCATGCTATCTATGTTACCTGAAATGCTCAAAATTATATCTACGAACCACCAATTACCAATCTCCTCCAGTCGGGTTGGTTGCAGCTGATTCTCCTTCACGATCTCTTCCCACACTTTGCTTTTGTCCTTCATCAACTCCACCAACGTCAATTTCTCGCCCTCTTCGAACCCGTAATCCTCAATGTTGAACTGTTCTGCCAACACTTTCCAGAAATGTTTCCACTTGAATACATCGCCATTGTTGCAGTTAAACGCCTCGTTCTTCGCGTACGGATCCACCGCCGTCCATATGTGCTGCTCCGCTATCAGATCTGCGTCTGAAGCTACCGAGAACTCCTCCCAAGCCGATTTCGTGCCTGGGAATTTCAACGGACGTCCCTCGTGCCTGCATATGGCGGCGTACGCGCATAGGGTTCCTATGATGTTCATCCAGCCGAAGGGGGAAAACCCGAAAATTACATTGGGTCGGATCACCGCCCATGTCAGATCCTTTCTTTGAGTCTTTTCAATTTCTTCGAATAACAAATCTTCTTGCGTGTAATAGAAATTTGGGCATTTCAATCGAGGCAAATCCTCCGTGAAAGGCGAATCGTGCGGCTGCACGGATTTATTGACAATGCTCTCGAAGGATCCGACGTAGTGCTTCGTACCGGTTTGAAGGCAGATATGGCGGAGATTGGGCGCGTTGGGGATCACTGATCGCAACACGTTGCGAAGCATTTTAACGTTGGCCTCGCAGTTCTCGAGCTCGGTGGATCGCTTGGTCCATGTGACATAGAAGAGATGAGTCACATCAACGAGCTGCGAGAGTTTGGCTTCGGCGTCTTCCGGATCGGAGATATCGCATTGAATGTATTCGATGGGATGGTCGGCGTTCCAACTTGGCCTCGACCTCCGAGCGACGCCGTAGACCTTCCATGGACCGCCGGGGGTGTCGGAAAGAGGGAGAATCTCGGCGAGGCTGTTGCCAACGATACCAGTAACGCCGATCACCAGGGCGACGCCCTCAAAGCTTCTCGGAGGTTCACCTTCTTCAAATTTCTTCTGCAAAATCGGGAACAGAGAAGTCGATAAGAGAAACGTGGAGGCATTTCAGAGATAGAAACAGGGGAATGGGAACAGATATGGAGTTACTAGTTACCTTAGCAGCGCCAATCGCTCCGGCCCACCACCAGCTCATTTTCCGTCGCGAAATCGGAGACAGGTTTCGGAATCAGGTAAAAGGGAGCAGATAAAAAACAGAGATTGAATCGGAAATCATTCGGTGGTTCGAAAGGATTTATAAGCGCAAGGGTGTACAGATCATTGTTGTCGATTACGAAGGAAACACGAACCATGACGAGATCTGTGACGGGATATTCATCGGATTCGAACCGCCGTAGTTCCAGGGAAATTCTTTTTAAGGAACATTATTTCCCTTAATTTTATGATAAATGAATTATTAATTGTCATAACGAAAGAACTAAAAATGAAAACTATAATGTTAAATTGCGCAATAATAATTTTATGATAAATGAATTTTCAGGTTAAAACCCATGATTTTTCCTTACAAAAAGAATTGACGTCATAGAACGGCGTTTATCACGAGGAACACGTTCTTAATCATTTTCAATATCATGGTTAATAATTATGTTTAGATGGCGATGTTTCATGAAAGGAGATTTGTTTAGAAATATCACCATCCTTGGAGAGTTGTTGGGAGCTGGTTCAGATCTCTGGTTTCCAGATAACTTTAACCTTGTTGCCCTGATTCTTGTCTAATGCTGCGACTTTGGCCCGATAAGCTGTTGCTGCCATGGCGTTCTTAAAGCCATGATGACCTCGAGAGGAATCGCAGGCCTCGCTCATGGAAGCATATCTAAGTTCAGCAGGGGGAATGAAACAATCAATGGACAGCCCAGGGACATTGAATGCTACTTCCTCTATAGTCCAAGCTTCTTCCATCCTGGTTTTTGAATGGCTCATGGCTGTTTCCCCAAATCTGAAAAGGGTTACTACAGATCGACCCGAGTGAGCAATCATAATCCCCTCGACTTGTCGGTAATCGTCAAGAAACGAATTAATCGTGGTTTCCCAATACACAGCATCGCCCCCGTTGTTTTGGATTCGGGTTAAATGTGAATCTTCTAAATGTACAAGGAGGCCTGATTTCTGGCTGAAGCATCCAAACATAGTGTGCCTGATTATCTCTGCAGGTCCTTCACTTCTTGCCTTTAATGTTGTTGGATCTGTACAGAGCTTGAGGATGAAACAATCTTCACCATTAACACTCTTTTCTCCAATGCATCTTGCATTACCAAACATGCTTGCTGTAGTTTTTGGATCAAGACCCTACACATAAAGAACTTTGTGAGCAAATCTCCAATATATAATGAGGGTGGTGTAAGATGAAGTGTATCACCTGAAGGGCACGGCGAAGGGGTCTAACAGGCCCTTTGGCGGCATGAGCGCCAAGCCAAGGCGTGTGCCTCCACACTAGCTTTCCATTGCAACCAGCATGAACCTTGCTACCACCAAGAGCAAGCTCAACATACCACATATCTGGCTTCATTTGCCACAAAACAAACCCGCCCGACTCTGCATCTTTAGAGGAATTACGGGTCCTGACCACTTTGTTAGCTGTTTCAAACTCACATGCTATCATTTTTACCTTTCCCATGGCATATGCATTGCATACAGAATTTTGAAGTTTTTGCCCTCCCGAGGCTGCTGTGTACTGCTGCAATATATACTGAGCTGATGAATTTTCCTGCAGGAAACCCCTTGAAATTTTATTATCCAAGACCCATCCTGAAAACCCAGTATCCAGAAAACAACCATACATCTCATTTGTATAAATAAATAACAAGAGACAAGAGCATTAAGATCTCTCTCAGTGTACTCGATCTTCATTTTGGAATAAATTCGAAGAAGAAGATAAAGGAAGAGATGAGTTCAGAGTGGAAAAGGTTAGTTTAGAGAGTGAATAATTAGGACTAACAATGGGGATGTCTTTAATGGCTTGGTGGGGCAGAGGCTTGGCGGAGCTAACATGAACAGGAGCTAACGGAGCACCCAAAACCCCAAGCAGCAGCCTCAGATCAGATCGTTTCTGGGCAGAACAAGAAACAGCCGAAGGTGCCCTACAAAGCTGACCCCTCATCCAGTTTCCCCATTTCCCCTCCTTTGAATCTCTGCTCTCGTTCCCGTCGGGCCCTTCCTTCAACGGTGACAATGCCTCCTCTGGCCTTAAGCTTCCTGATCTCTCAATCATCAAGTCCGGTTGCGACAGTTGGTGGGTCTTCCTCCGCCGTAGTAAACTCGACATGGGGGACGCACTTCTCGCCGGACTTTTCGCTCTTGACCTTCCAGGTGAAAGCCCTCTTACTATCTCCCCCTTCAGCGCCGAGAAGAATCCTTGCTTTCTCTCCATTTCAAACTATTCTCCAAAACCAGCGACACAGAAGAGTGAAACAAAAAGAAACGAAGAATACTTGAACAATATGATGGAAGGACTATCGTAATCAGCAGCAGGCCCGGCTCGACAAAAACAGTACAAAGCTCATTATCGAACAGCTGCGATTCCACCTACAGGGGGGGAGAGAAAAAAAAGGTAGACAGACAAGCAAAACTGTAAGTATTTTATACAATTACGATCTGGGTCGTCCTCGTTTCTCTTCAATTGTTACCCACTACGGCTGTTTTCTATCCTGCTATCGCCTTCAGAAGTGGGGTGGGGGGACCTAAAAACTGGTAAGGATATAACTGCGCCGGAAACTTGTAGGAAGAAAAGAGACTGCACTAATCTTCGGGCGGCGAGATCAGGCAGCGGAATCTTGGGAAATGGCCAAGAACAAGAACCCAAACGAAAGACAAGATTGGAAGGGGCGTCTCTGGTGAACACTACACCGAAGTTCAGAAGGAAAATTGAAAAAAGTAAAAAGAAAAAGAAAAAGAAAAAGAAAAAAAGAAAAGAAGATCATAGGGCAGTGTGCCGATTAATACAGGGTCCACCTGCGGTGTTCCAACCGGTTAAACCCACGTGATAAAAAAATTTATCTCCAAAGGTACAAAAAGTATTAATTAAACGCCATGCTAAAATAGCCTATTGGTCGAAATTCATATGAATCAAATCTGCCTCATCAATCAAACCAACCTGTAATAAAGGGCACTGGGAACAGCTCAAGGCTGTGCACCTTTGTCCCTGCTTAAATACATGAGTCATTCCAATAACACATGTTCTTGTTTGGTATGTTTTTTTTCCCTTCTTCCTGTGGTTTTTACTACAACTCTAAATCAGTGTACAACAGTCCTAAGCATTTCATGGTACGAGTGACTACCATATACACTCAGTTTTTGAAGCTAGTTTAAATTCCACTCTCTCCCTACCCAAATCACATCTTTTCTTTAATCCGAAACTATATATCTGATATACAGAATCATAACTCCAACCAAAAAAGAGAGAAAAAAAGGGGGTCTATAGTGGCTGAAGCTCTTGCTCGGGTCCGACAGCACCAACAGGCTCATATGAACTCAGCTCCCTCCGTCTGTATCTCCAAATCAGCCACGTGCTTCCGGCTGCCAATCCAACAACTAAGGTAACTGCTGCTACAATAGACATCATAGACCAGAAGTGCTGCTCCATCCATGTCCTGTATAAATCCGACCAGGGGTAAGAAAGTACGTGATGGAGCATAATATAATAGGGAAATTAGTCAAGTTGTAGGCAGAAATAAGTAGAAAACGGGAGCGTGAACATGACAGCGTATACTGCACACAAATGTTATCAATATATAAATGATCGATAGTATTTTTAAGCTTATATAACCTACTGGGCTGAAAGCAAATTACTCTATAAGAAGACACGTCACAGATACAAAACTTATTAGCAGTTACTGCAGTTTAAATGTGTGAACGCCATGCTTTGAAGGAATTTCCCCCGAGAATCAGTCAGTAAATGCAAGCACCATGCATATAAATCCTTGCTTTTCATCAGAAAATCTTCTAACTGCGGACGACCCAGTGATGATATATTTGAAAAATGACAAGCAATAGCCAGTGGAGCCCTATGTGCTCCAAATGCAGTAAGAAGGAAAAGAATAACATCCAGGAATATATCTCACTTCTTTAATGGAGGTTCAACATTCAATTCAACCAGCTGATAGCTTCCGAATTTTTCAGGAAGTTGCAAGTCATGTTCCTTCAGGCGAGAAATTATGTCCTGCAAATCATCATTTACAGTCATAAGATAGTTAATTGATATACTCCAATGTTTTTACTTCATATAAATAAGCTGGGCGCTTAAGGACTAAGAACTTTCACCATTGCCGTGGAATTAGATATATAACCAGCAGAATCAGCAGGGAAGATGGCCCATCTAATGAAGAAATCAGTTTCTCCCGATGTAAAGTTCAGCACGTGAACCTAAAATTAGACAATTGGCAAGTGTAAGCCGAACCCCAAACTGCAGACACTACGAAGAATCGAGCATATAGGTATAGAAACAGCAGTGCAAGTCTTAATAAAGTCGAGTATATGCAATATTCTTAAGGTTAAGGGTGCGCATTTTCACTCTTCTCCTTCCTTTTCAAAAAAGTTAAGGTCACACCATTAATTGTTGCCTTTTACAAAATTATCTCGAAAAAAGATTTGGAGAGGACCTTGCACTAACAACGGTGCTGGTGCTGTGGGAGTCGACAAGAGATAACATATGGTGAAAGGTTAACTCTAAATTCATTAGTACCTGTGAGACATTTACTTCAAGCTCATTGGCAATAAATTCTGCAAGCTCAGTGATGTTAAGTTTCACGGAGGATTTGTTGGCATGAAGCACCATATTAAATGTTATGACTCCAACCTGAAATTCACCTACACAATGAACACAGGAATATATAAATACCGCGCAAAGTAAAAGTCATCTGGTAATATAATCTTGAAACCATTGGGTTAAACCTTACCGGAAAGAAATGGTACAGTTGGAGAAACAGGTGGAGGAATTTCATTACTTGTATTCTGACCATAGGAAGGTAAAGGAGCTGGAGGAGGAGCTGGAGGAGGAGCAGGAGAAAGATAATGCAGATTCTTCCAAAGTTCAGAACAGTTAGTCTTCCAAAACCCAATTTTGGTGTTCTCTCGATCATAGGTGACAAGGGTATTACGAACAATAATTCCTGCCAATGAAAAGAGACCACGCAGCTTTACTCTAAAGAAATACTATTTCGTTTTATTAATTTTGAGGACCGTGATTATTGAACACCTAAGTTTTATTAAAGCATGCAATA